GAACGCTATCGGGGGCCAGATCGGCGGAAACAGATTCGCATCTCTCGTCGGCCATCTGATCGAAGAGATCACCCATCGCAATGTTGCCGCGAGATCGGCGCGCCGAGGCCAGTGCCAGGATGCTTGACCGTGATCTGATTGGTCTGCTCCGCGACGGCCGCCTCGCTCGCAGCCCCCTCGTCGCCCGGCAGGACATCATCGCTATCAGCGCAGAGTATTTCGACGACGTGTTCCTGAGTTGGAGCGGCCGCGGAAGCGGCGCCTCCTGGGTCGGGCCCGGGCCCTGGGGGCTCAAGGGGCCCCTCGGCATCGATCTCAGCAGATGGGCGCGGAGGATGATCGGCGCCAGCTGTGGAGATAGATGCGCCAGGTTGCCGCGCGCGCGCGGGGCCATCGCCCCGCCGATCCTGCCACAGCGGGAATGTTGACTGGAAGTGTCCCTGAAGTGGCACATCGGCCGCAATTGAATCGCCCCACAAATTACGCAATGCACAGAGTCTCAGGCGATTGGAGCCCCATGAGCTATCGCGCGACAGATCTACAACAACGCACTAGCGCAAACGGATGGAGGGGCCGAGAAAGGGAAAACGAGGGCAGGCGACAGCAGTTACAGGCCCGGCAGTCTTAGCGGTATCCGCCGTCTTCTCGGCCTTCGAGGTAGAGGCAGGAAAATTAGCGACGGCTCTGACAGTGCTTTGCTTTCATAAGCTCAAAACGTTTGAATATCATGTTAGCGACCTTCAGGCTTGTGTCTACATAATCGCACCGCGTTGATTCCTGTTGGCACGTCTCCGTGATCCATCCAATCCAAGTTGACACGATGGGCGCGATGAAGATGACGAAGCGCGGGCGCATGCCCTTTCTGTGCTATCGCAAAGACCACCTGGTTGTCCTCCGCCACAATAAGATACACCATCGGAGGCAGTGGTGGCGCGGGAGCGGAAGGGGGGCACGTTGCGCGATGTCCTCGCACGCGATATTGGGTGATGGCGATGGTGGTGGCGGCGCGGCTCGCGTCGACGTCCCGGGGCCTGGAGGAACCGCGCGTTGGCGGCGCCTCCCGTGGAGGCGTTTTGCGTCGCTTCTTCTTCTTCTTCTTGGCGGCCGTGGGCGCATTAGCATTATTCCCCCGTCGTGGGTCGCGAACCACAGCCCCCCGGAATGAAAGCACAGGTAGACCTTCAGAACGCGAGACCGGGTCGAGAGCCGCGACCTCGGACTCTGCGGACGAATGCGATACCGAGCGTCGAGCGGGAAACGTCGGGGCCAACCAGCGCCGCAACGACGCTGGCGCTCGACATCGAGCTGTCGACGCAATCAGCGAAGGAGGCGTCGGTGACAAGCACGATGGACATGCGATCCGATCTGTCACCAGTCCACCCATGAAGAAAGTGCGCGCGTAGACTCCAAGTAACATGCCAGTCGATGTAGACGCGCATCACACGCGCAATTCCACGCGGCGATCCCTCGCGGCAACATGCGCGCCGGGCGCGAAAGGTCAAGCCTGAAGCAGCGGGCCAAGCGCAATATTTTCATCAGGGCACTCGCTGCGCCAGGCCCGATTACGCCGTCACCACTGCAAAGCGGCTCGGAGAAGGACGCGTCAATAATGCCAGGAGTGTCGGCGCGTGGGAGATCGTCACATGCAATGCGGATGGCGTCTCTCGTCGGTTTTTTTTTTCAACTGACGGGCAAGATCTGGATTCGGGTTTGTCAACCAGCGCAAAAGATCGAGACTGGGTTGGGCGTGGCTTAGGCGAGGATGACCTCTTTTCCCTCGAACCAGACATGCCAAGTAGCTTGGAAGCCCATTGCAAGCACCGAGTGATGCATCGGTCGGAAACAAGCCATGCATGTCGTGTCGAAACCCACGAACGCTTGATGCAGATGTGCACTGACTGGTGTCACACTTCGGTAACATGGTCGGATCGTGGTCATTCGTTCGTGAAAGGCGCCTTGTGGTACGATCCATGTTTCTAGACTTCTGTGCGTGTCTGATCACATCGCCACGCTCCATGAACGCTTCGAGCTTCCAAATCTGTTTCTTTCCCAGTCGTTCATATTATGTGCGACGTGCGTCTTGCGCTCGTGGCTCTGCCGAAAGTTAGGTCGCGGGTGACGAACCACGGCTGCCCCCAACGATTCGAGTCCAAGTTGTTCCTGCGTTCCCGATTATCAGTAAAAGCACGCGGCATCGTAGGCACTGTCCCAGCGTGGTCCAGCAGCGCGAACAAGGAACCACACTCGCGGGAATGGCTTCCGGCCGTGGACGGCAGCATAGAACGGCGATGATGTCACGTGGTCCATCAGGGAGGGCGGCGTGAAACATGTCGTTGTCGGTGACGCCATTGACGCTTTCGTCTCTGATCACAGCGTTATTGTGTAGATCGTAAATGTCACGTCGGGCCACACTCGCGTGAATGGTTTCCGGCCGTGGACGGTAGCATAGCGCGGCGATGATTTCACAAGGTCCGTCCAGGAGTGCGGCGTGAAGTATGTCGTTGTCGGTGACGCCCTTGACGCTTTCGTCTCTGATCAAAGCGTTGTTGTGTAGGTCGTGAGTGTCACGGTGTTCCTTAGTAGTCCATGTGGGGCCGTCACCGCTGTTGGTTCGGAAGCGATGGGCATGTTTGTCTGTCCGATTCCAAGTGCGAAGAACGGATAGATGGCGCATTTCCCGTGATCGGATACATATTTGTCGAACTCTGTTTGAGCCTGTCGTTCGTTTTTCTTGGACATCGCGTTCCAGAAATCGGGCAAGACGCGGCCTTGCCGGGACGTGGCCTGGACACGGGTTTGGCGACCATGAATACGAATCCTGCCGTCTGGGGTGATCTCGGGCCGCTTGTAGAAGCGAACCATTCCAGTCCAAGGTTCACTGAGATGGCGGCGGTCATTCTCACTTACGCCATCCCACACGTCGCGGGAAACTTTCTCGCTTTCAAAAGTAGATGCGGTCTCGAAGTTGCGGATGGCAGCGAGCTTGTGTACCGGGACAGGGACCCCGATCGCATCGTCGGTAGGGCGAAAAAAGCTGAGTGCGAGGTGCACGGATGTGTCGTAGGATAACCTCGCCGCGCTGCTCCCAGCAATCGGGCTCGGGAGCTGGAGGCGCTGGCTCCGGTGTCCCGGGAAGGACTGGTTCGGGAGGCCGCGCTCCAGGGCTGGAAGGTTCGGGAAGGTCTGGCTCAGGAAGTTTCGTGGCACTGGGGTCGGCTCATTCAGCTGGGCATAGGAGTAACAGGTCGTCTTTGACCGGGGCGAGATGTCTGACATGAAAAGCCATGTGCTTCCGGGCTGCGGTGTCGGAGGAGGCCGTCCGTCTTCGGCGGGGAAAGCATACATTCCGCCCGGGACCGCGATGTTCTTGACCCGATGTACATGGGAATTCTCTTCATCTGGGAAGTTGGCGCATGTGGCCGCGTCGATAACGAGGCGTATGTGAGTATGTGTAAGCGTTTGTGCGTGTGCGTTGTGTTGTGTGTTGTGTCTTTGTGTGTTGTGTGTTGTGTGTTTGTGTGTTGTGTGTTGTGTGTTGTGTGTTGTGTGCTGCGTTCAGTGTTGTGTTTTGTGTGTCGTTTGTTGTGCGTTGTGTGTTGTGTGTGGTGTGTTGTGCGTTGTCTGGTGTGTGCTGTGTGCTGTGTGCTGTGTGTTGTGCGTTGTGTGGTGTGTGCTGTGTGTTGAGTGTTGTGTGCTGTGTGTTGTGTGTTATGTGTTGTGTGTTGCGTGTTGTGTGTTGTGTGTTGTGTTGTGTGTTGTGTGATGTGTGCTGTGTTGTGTGTTGTGTGTTGTGTGTTGTTCGTTGTGTATTGTGTATTGTGTCGTGTGTGTGTGTGTGCGTGCGTGCGTGCGTGCGTGCGTGCGTGCGTGCGTGCGTGGGCGGGCGGGCGGGTGGGTGGGTCGGGGGTCGGGGGTCGGGGGTCGGGGGGAGGGGGGGGAGGGCGTGTGTGCGCGTAATGTCTGCGAGCGTGTGCGTGCGCGTCTGTCGGCGAAGTGTCGCAGCCCACTCTGGGGGGCACCCCAAGCGACCTGGAGCGGCGGCACTGGCCGAAGGCCACTACGATAACGGTCACCCTTGGGGGGGGGGAGCGTGGGGCCTCGGGTTGCGGTAAACGCTTGGGCGGGGTGGGTGACGCCGGGGCAGTCACCAGCATTAGAACGCACGCGAGCACCAGCACGTGGTGGGGGGGCCGGATAACGACCATCATGCTTAAGAGAATGCGACGAGGGCCCCCGCGGAGGCAACGGCACTCTTTCCTCTGGTGAGGCCCGGGGCCCAGGGCCCGTGCACCTGGCCGGCAGGCTCGGTGCACGTCCGCGCCCCGCCCCCGCAGGAAGGGGCCAGCAGCCGACAGCCACACGCCCACGTGGCTCGCCCGCGCGGCTCGTCCGCTTCGGCCCCCCTCTCGAGGGGGAGGCCGAGGAGGGTGGCTTCGGACGTTCTCGTTGAAGGGGCCCCAGGACACACAAATAAATACACACAAATAAAACAAATCCCCATAGTTTCCTGTATTTTTCTGGATTTCGTCTTCCCCCCCAGTTTCCATATTTTCCTACATTTTCTGGGGCATCGACGATTATTTGTGCTTGTGTGTTTTTTCCCCTCCTGACTCGTTGGCGGACGATCCAGGCGCCTTCGTGCGCTCTCGGCGGCCCTCAAGACTCCGGATGCCTTCCAGCGGCTGCGCCTCGCCGGGAGCGTTCTGGGGGTTAACGGCCGCCGGAGCCCCGAGTTAAGACCCGAAGACCACCAGGGGACCAGCTCCGTGCGAGGGGGCAGCATCGACCTGGAATCGGCGATGCAACGCCGATAGATCGTCGATGGGCCCCCGATAGCGAATCCACATGGCCCTGGGCGGGAAGCACCTATCTCGGGGGCGCGCAAGCATGGATCAGCGATCCAGGAAGTTGGCGCGCGGTCGCGAGGCTGAAAATTGCGAAAAACATGCCGTCGCGATTTCTCACGACGGTTGGGCGCGCGCACCGGCTAACCCGGGGACCAGGCTGGCCCTCACCGTGCTGTCCTGCTCCACGCCGGCCGCCATCATGCGCCGCCGGAGCAGCTTGGCCTCGCGGCACCGCTTCTGGTCAGGGATCGAGCAGTGCAGATCAGACCGACGTCGGGGATTGATAGGTCGAGGATCGGCAACGTCAGGGAATATAACGAACTTCGAATTGGACCCAATCCCTCAGATGGGCAAGCCCAAAGGCGGTGACAAGCCTGGGGATGCGCCCTCAGAAACTGAGAAGAAAATCTCAAGGTCGGCGAGAGAAGGCGATGCCAAGCAGGGAGAGGGATATGTTCCAGGCAGGTAGGGATTGCCAGAGCGCGGATCGTCGAAGAACCCCGTGGCGGAGAAGACCCCGGGCACTTCTGGGGGATCTCGTCGCCGCGGCCGGCCGCAGCTCGAAGGCAAAGGCCGGGGCGGACCCTGTTGGCCACACGCAGAAGGGGGCAGGGGGCGGGGGGGGGAAGCTTCTCAGAAGCACCCCTGCTTCTCAGCAGGCGCGGGCCTTGTCTGCAGAGCTGTAGGGCCAGCGTCTCCTGGGAAGCAGCCTCCTCCTGAGAAGCCTGCCCCCCCCTCCTTCCACCCCCCTTGTGCGCGCCGCCAACCCTGAGAGGGGCCCAGGGACCGATTCTGAGCGGCTCTCCAAATCTCCGTCGATCGGCTTGTCTCCATCTGGGCACTGGCCATCGCTCGGACGTCCATTTCCTGTGTTTTTGTTTTCGGTTTCGCGCGTGGCTTTTTCGCGAAATGATCGAGGATGCTCCTCGATGGTCCTCGCCGAAGGAGAAATGCACACGTCCGAGCGATGCCAAGGGGCAGTAGGCTCCTCGATGTCGGCCTCGGGGGCCCGCGGTCGGGCCCCGCCCAGGGCCACCAGGCATGGATATTCACGACGGGACAGTGCCCCTGTCGCGGGGGGGGGGGGGCACCCGGGTGGGGTCAGGGCAGAGGTTCGGGGATGGACAGACCCCCCTTCAGTAAGACGTGGTCTAGTGAAACCGACCTGAGGCCCAAACCTGGCGGGCGCAAGCCTGGAAAACAACGGCCACGGCGCCATCTCGAGAACCGAAAACGGACAATTCACTAATCGACGTGTCACTGTTGGGGGTTCTGTCCACCCCCAAAAGGCGGGGTTGAGAGGAAAATCGCTTGGAAACGGCCCCTTGGAGGGAAGCGCGACAGACGGGAGCATCCAGCTGGGCCAGCTCCCCCAGCCCCAACTGTGGGATAACCCTCCCTCTACGAGCTCCCGACTCCTGGGTCTGGGGGCGGACATGGGGCGAAGTCTGGTCGGGGGTGGACCACTCGCGTCCCGAGGCAGGCGGGCGCTGATGCGCACGCCTGGGGGGCGGCCCTCTGGGAGAGCTCGGCGAGCGCGCCAGAACGCCGAAACTCAGACAAGCAACGCAAAAAAACAGGTCGTACATTATGTTGCTCCCATCGAACCTAAGGACCAAATCACTACAATACTTTCGAGCACCCTGAACAATATCGGAACGGTGTCGAACGAGTATCGCCTGCCAGAGCCCGACACGCGAAAACCCTCCAGTTCCGGCACGGTCTTGTGGGTGCTCGAAAGACCTCCTGGTGGTTCAGGCTAAGGTAGGTTGGGACAACAGAAAGCTTACGTTAGATGCCACAGCGACCGAACGCCGCGGCTTACGCGGGCCGCCAGCGAGGAATGTTGCATTGGGCGCGAGAGCGCTTGGGCGCGACCTCACGCGGGCAGCTTGCGCGCCAATGTCGGGGCCCCGTGGTTCTGCGTCCCCCAAATGTCGTACGACTCAGCGCCCCACAAACGGGGACTCCACTAACGGGTACTTTGGCCAGTGACCCAGCGAACCCAACCCTTCCCGATGCGGGCAACGCTGCATTGCCAGAAAGAGGCCCCAAAATGGCAACTTTCGGCAAAATTGCAAAGTACCCGTTAGTAAGTACCCGTTAAAGTGCCGTTGAAAGACACGATTCCCTTACGAGCCAGAAGTTGTGCCACTGACTCCACTGATGCCGTCCCTTCCTATGTGTTTGTCGATGGGGCGGTATGGATTGACTATCTCGCGCCGAGAAAAAATAT